AGATAACATGCGCTGGGAAATCAGGAGAAAGAGATTTTGCATCTAGCTGGAAACACGTAGAAAAATTTTCTAAAGGGGACTGCATTGTCGGGGACAGGGGGAAGGGTCCTTGAAGGATGAGTAAGATTTCGTATTGTAGATAGAGTGGAGTATGAGCACCAACAAAGGAAAGGAATGGGGTGAGACAATGGTACACAACTAATATAGTGGAGATATGAATCCCTAATTCTACTTCTCCCCATGTGTCTGTCAGAGTGTCATACTGTGGTGGCTTGTGTGTTGCTGTGATGCTAGAAACTTTGCCACTGGTATTCAAATACCAGGAGGGTCACCCATGGTGGACAGGTTTCAGCAGAGCTTCCAGACTAAGACAGACTAGGAAGAAGGACCTGGCAGCCTACTTCTGAAAAAAATTAGCCAGTGAAAACATTATGAGTAGCAACAGAACAGTGTCTGACATAGTGTTGGAAGATGAGCCCCTCAGGTTGGAAGGCAATCAAAATACGAGGGGGGAAGAGCTGCCTCCTCAAAGTAGAGTTGACCTTAACAAATTAAATGCAGTCAAGCTTTCAGGACCTTCATTTGTTGATGTGGCACGACTGAAAATGAAAAGAAATAGACACAAACATCCATTAATAATAGGAACATGGAATGTACAAAGTATGAATCCAGAAAAATTGGAAATTGTCAAAAAAGAAATGGAATACATAAATATCGATATTCTAGGCATTAGTGAGCTAAAATGGACTGGTATTGTATCCTTTCACTATACTTATTCTATCTGTATGCTGAGCAAATAATCCGAGCAGCTGGACTATATGAAGAAGAACTTGGCATTAGGATTGGAGGAAGACTCATTAACAACCTGTGTCACGTAGATGACACAACCTCGCTTGCTCAAAGTGAAGAGGACTTGAAGCACTTACTGATGAAGATCAAAGACTACAGCTTTCAGTATGGATTACACTTCAACATAAAGAAAACAAAAATCCTCACAACTGGGCCACTAAGCAACATCATGATAAACAGAAAAAAAGACTGAAGTTGTCAAGGATTTCATTTTACTTGGACCCACAATCAATGTCCATGGAAGCAGAAGTCAAGAAATCAAATGATACACTGCACTGGGCAAATCTGCTGCAAAAGACCTCTTTAAAGTGTTAAAAAGCAAAGATGCCACTTTAAGGACTAAGGTGCGGCTGACCAAAGCCATGGTTTTTTCAACTGCCTCATACGCGTGCGAAAGCTGGACAATGAATAAGGAAGACCAAAGAAGAACTGATGCCTTTGAATTACGGTGTTGGCAAAGAATATTGACTATACCGTGGACTGCCAAGAAGGAACAAATCTATTTTGGAAGAAGTAGTGCCACAGTGCTCCTTAGAAGCAAAGATGGCAGGACTACGTCTCACATACTTTGGACATGTTATCAGGAGGGACTAGTCCCTGGAGAAGGACATCATGCTTGGTAAAGTAGAAGGTCAGTGAAAAAGAAGACCCTCAACGAGATGGACTGACACAGTGGCTGCCATAATGGGCTCAAGCATAACAATGATTATGCGGATGGCGCAGGACTGGGCAGCGTTTCATTCTCTTGTACATGGGTTCACTATGAGTCAGACCCAACTCAATGGCGCCTAATAACAAGAACAATTCTACTTCTTAGGGTAACATAAAGGAACAAAATTTAAAAAAAAAACCAACAAAAATGAAACTCAAAAAAACTTACTAGAGTTCTAGTCAAACCAACACTGAGGGCTAGTTAAGAGAAAGTGACTTTTCATATCCAATCAATGTAATGAAGCACACCATAGGTTACAAGAGATAAAAGTCGAGCTGCAGACGACTTCACTTTCTTCTGTTTGTTCTGAGAGGCAGGCAGCTAAGGCAAAACCCTGAATGTACCTTGTCTTCTCTTTCCCCTAGCCTTGACAATGATTCCCACAGCAAAAATGGTTTGATACAGAGAATCCAACTGTAGATTTGTGCATGCAGGTCACCATCTACTTGCCTTTTCAGCTTCAATCAGGGACCACCTAAGAAAAGACGCTCGCTCTAATTTCTCATGGAAATAATCTTTGTGGTTCAGTCTTCTTTCCAATTGCAATCACTTGGTTTCACTATGTCTTTTTGGCTAATGAAAGAAGCTTTTAAAACAAGCTTTGGATGCAGAGAAAGGGGATTTTTAGTGATCTGTAATCTTTAAAATGTGTATCATTTTTTAAAAAAGAAAAAAAAGAGTTCTAAGTAAAACATACCAAGATATTTGGATGGTTCAAAAAACAGAGGTTAGAATGGAGGCAAGAAATGAATACGGTGTAAAATTAAAAGCCCTGAAGCAGTTCCAGGCAGTATAAGGGAAATGACTGGAGTTCTCTTTCTCTCTGGTATGTGTTTATAAAGAGAAAGAGAGAGAGAGAGAGAAAGTAGTTCTCATGGGAGAGTAACACAGAAAGGAAAGAGGAAAGCAGCTGGCTGTGGGCCATGACTTACCATTCACCACACAATGTGCCTGTTTCTGCTTCTCAAAGGCCATTGTTTTTTCCAAGCATTCATGGACTCCACTTACACCAAGTCAATTACAATGAAGAGACTTAAGGCATAAGGGATCTAGATAAGTACCTCACAAGACAGACCAAGGATGTGAAAGTCAAATTCGGCTCTAAAATATTGTTAAAACAAAAACTCTGTATAACCAAACTACTGTCCACCTCCTAGCAACAGCCTGCTTACTTAAAACAAAAATACAGCAAAATCTAAATTATAAAAATCCCTTGTCTTTGGGATAGTGGGTTTACTGGTCATTAATCCAAATTGGTGTATGATGTTGTAGATATCAAGTTCTCCTTTTATAAGCCAAGAATCCTATAATAGTATCATCCACCTAGGTCACTGTGTAATAAAAATAAACCCCTTTAATTCTTTTTTACACAAAATGTGAGTGGAAAAAAAAGTAACATTTATCATCTGTCTAGGGAAAATTCCTTATGAAATCAACAATGTAAGAATTTTCAAAGGAAAAAAATTCCTTGTATCTTAAAACAGAAGTCAAGTTTACTTTTATTTAAGCGGTGTGTCTTTGTTCCAACCTCCAAGCTGGCTTTTCTCAAGGTACACTGAAACAATTCCTTTTCTTGTGTATGTAAGTTTAAAAAAAAAAAATAGAAGCTTGAAAACTAAGTTTCTAATTAGGGTGAGAAGGCTCTGCTGGTAGATCAGAGATAATCTTGTGATGCTTCCTTCTTCAGGTGTGTTGCAAAAAAATTTCTAAAGGGGTTACAAATTTCTTTTTGAGATTATGGCTAAAATCGTGAAATGTATACCCGGGGCCAGGATCTCCAAACTCTTTTGCGCTAAGAAATTTATTGTCCAATCCACAGATCATAGTCTGTCCAGGGTTCTACAAGGGCGCAAACTGGTTGGCAGTCAAACTGGACCTCTTAGGGAACTTCTGGTAGTTTCCAATTTACTTGTTGAGGACTCTGCCCTAAGAATCACCAGAGATGACAAAACAAGTATTTGTTCATGTCAAGGGATTATCTGCAAAAGCTTTAAGTTTATGGAACCCTTCTCTTGGGGGTTGGGGAGGATTAGAGAGAAGGATAACATTCTTTGTTGAAAAAATAATCTTTTAAAGTAAAGGGGGATGGAGAAGAAAAATCATACCACATGTCAAGGGCATTATTTATTCATCATAACCCACATTTTGAAACTCTAAGGAAACTGTTTATAAATAATGTTTGGCTTTTTCCTTTGCAAGCACATGTAATTCTTAACTTTCATTTTTCCCCTCAGGATTACTTGTTCTTCTCTCAAATACTTGCAAAATCATTTCTGGAGGCTGACTTTTAAGAAGTAATTTCAAATCAATACTTACGTGCACAAGACAAGACCCCCAAAACTTTTGACAACTACTATTCTCACCCACTTGAAAAACAAAATGAGAATGGTGTTCATCAACAGAAGGCTAATAAAATGCTTTCCTTCGTGCCAAGCAAGATTAACAAAAAATATCAGTGATACTTAAAGCAAATAAAAGAATAAGAAACCAAGTGGAAAGGTAACAAAATGCAGTTAAATCACACTACCCTTACCATTTACTTTGTTTTCCTGTCCTTGGGTTCCCTTCTGAGTGCTGGTTTTAGTCATAACCCAAAACCCACTGCCATAGAGTCTACTGCGACTCATACAGACCCTAGGGATGAACTATTTTCCCATTGCAAATTTTTACTGCTTCCTAACCTAGTATTTTGAATTTGCGTTCATTTTCAACAATTCAGTATTGGTCATGAAATAGCATTAATGCTCAAGTCAAGAACTTTGTCTTTAGAAGACAGAATAATAACAATATTGATAACCCTAAGTAGGCAACTAAGAAGAAAACTAAGTTTTCTGTATTTTCCCCTTTACTTTTTCTGCAAAACTTCCTTTCCTATTTGATAAGGGGCAGCTAGCTTAAACTTGTTACTGTTAGCTGCCAGAGTGTATTCAGACTCATGGCGACCCCCAGAGTGCAGAGAACTGCTCCATAGAGTTTTCAAGGCTGTGGCCTTTCGGAAGCAAATCCTTAGGACTACCTTCTGAGGCGCCTTTAGGTGGGTTCAAAGAGCCAACCTTTCGACTAGCGCCTAACCTTTTGCACCACCCAAGGACTCTCTCCTTAAATTTACTGCAAAGTAAATATGCGCAATTCCCTAGAATGAGATCTTTCATACAGAACGTTACACTGGAATGTGACATCAGCACTCCTTTTCAGTCACAGTGTGGTGCCCAAGCATTTCCCCCTGAGGACCTGAGGCGCTCCATGACTAGGAGCGGCTCAGGTAGAGTCGTCGGTCCAGTCGTCCCGAGCAGCCAGGCTGGAAACTCCCCCAAGCGCTAAAGCACTGGTGACAGTCGCCGTTTGGGGCAGCTGTCAGGCAGAGAGAACGTTTTGAGAGATAACTCCCTAAGAAGGAGGCAGTGTTTTGGCAGTCAAGTAATGAACGAAAAAAAATCACCTTCAAGTTATCAGCCAGCCACGGGTGCGAAGCAAGTGCATGGAATCAGCACTCCCTGCAGACAGCCTCGGGCTGCCAAGTAGGCACTGGAGGAGGTCTGAGCTGTCAAACCCAGATTCAGGCCCATAAACCACAAAGGTTTAATAAAGTTGAATGTCTTGAGACAGGAAGAAGCGGTGTCACGGTCTCGCCCGGCCTCGCCCTAACCTCACCCTTTCCCTTCAGGGAGGCACAGCGCACTGGAAACATCTTCAGAAAACTTTCCAGCGCCTCCAGCCGTTGGGTCGTGGTCAGAAGGGAGGGAAATGCCCGGAGCTCGGTGGCGCTCCCGACCCGCCGCTGCCCCAGGTTTCGGGAGTTGGTGGGGCGCTGGCACCTCGTCTCCCCGTAGGGTGGGCACCTGGGCCCCGGAGACCCAGCTCGCGCGGCCCGCGCGCCCCGCCGCCGCTGGCAGCGATGGGGCGGCGCCGGCTCCAGGTGAGGCGGCCCTGCCCGCAGCCAGCGCTCCCTTACCTTCTTCACTCGGGCTTCCAGGTCCATATCTGCGGGTCCGAGGGCTTCGCTCCGACCGTGCGGACTTCACGTCTAGGCCCCGCGCGGGAGCCGGAGAAACCTGCCGGGACTCGCGTGCCGCTGCCGCAGCCGCTCGCCGGCGTCGTCAAACTTCCGCCGCCCCGCCCGCCGCAGCCGGCCTGCGACCGGGACCCGGGAACAAAGAGGCCCAGGCAGCCAATCGCAGCCTGGCAGCGCGGGCTGCCGCCAATCACAGAGCGCCGCACGCACCTTCGGCGGGGCTGCGGCGCTCGCAAGGTGACGGGCGGGGCCGCCTGGGGGCGGGGGTTGTGGAACTTGTCGCGTAGCCCTGACCTGGCTTGTGGGAATGCTCTGGGCCTCTGCTCACTCACTCAGGAAGAACTGGGGTCCGACTGTCTCCAGTTGAAGATGGACGAGAGCCCTTTCCCTTCTGCAGGCTTGTACTTCTGTTTGCCCGGGACCTTTGATTTCTGTCGGGGGGAGAACTTATTCCAGGACTAGCTTCCTGGGTGATTTTCAGAGCAATGAGAAAGACAAGAGCTCGAGGATATAGTTTGGCCCTAATTTCACTACTAGGCAAAGTAGAGGATCTGTGAAAAAGAGGAAGCCCTTAACGAGATGGATTGACAGAGTGGCAGAAACGATGGGCTCAAACATAGCAACGATTGTGAGGATGCCACTGGACTGGGCAGCGTTTTGTTCTGTTGTACATAGGGTCTTCCCGCTGGAGGGCACCTAACAACAATTTCACTACTAAGAGCCCGGTGGCGCAATGGTTAGGCGGTCGGCTGCTAACCAAAAAGTTGGCAGTTCGAATTCACCCAGCCCCCTCTGGGAGAAAAACCTAACGATCTATTCCCATAAAGATTATAGCGAAGAAAACTCTGTGGGGGCAGTTTTACTATCTCACGTGGGGCCTTTATGAATGGAAATCAACTGGAGGGCACCCAACAACAACAATTTCACTACTGGGTTGTGGAGATGGCATTCCTCAAATGCTTTTCTCCATAGCCCCAAAACACTGGCAGAGAACATTATTTCACAGTCTTATCATAATGAAGATAGGTATATGGTTTTATGAGCATTCGGTTGTTCAAAAGCGATGATAATGTGAATCACTGCAGAGACATTATGTGCCGTTCCTTTGTACATACAGGTTTGCCCTTTGTCCCTACTCTGTGAAATGGTCTGAGGCTTCTCATGTGTCTCATGCCTTGAGGAAGCAGAGTTTCACAGGTATCACAGCAGCCTTATAGCATAGAACTGGAGCCATTGCCTCATTCTGGAGCCATTACAATAAATACCATCAGATTGTTGGATCGGGAAGGGATCCTAGGGATTTGTGAGTCTAACCCCCCTCATTTTGCAGGGAATGGACGGCCTGAGAGGGACCTAATGTCTTTGGGTAGTGTCTTAGGCTGAGTTCTCTAGAGAAGCAAACTATATATATGTATATATATATATATAGAGAGAGAGAGAGAGAGAGAGGGAGAGAGAGATTTATGTCAGGGAAGGAAATGGCTCATGGAGTTGCAGAGACTGGAAAGTCCCAAATCTGTGGGTCAGGCTGGAGGCTTCTCCTGACTCACTTATCTGCAGGAGCTGGCAAACACAAGATCAGCAGGTCAGACAGTAGGCCACCAGCTACTTCAGAGGCTGACAAATTCCAAAATCGGCAGGTAAGCTGCTAGCTCAAGTTCCAAGAACCAGAGGTCAGATGAACAGGAGCCAGCTGCAGGATCCAGAGTCAGCAAAAGCCCATGAGCCTTGATAGAAAGTGGACCTATATTGGATGCAGGCCACACCCCCAAGGAAACTCCCTTTCAACTGATTGGCTACTCACAGCAGATCCCATCATAGAGGTGATCGCATTATATCAGATCTCATCATGGAGGTGATTACAGCATTATAGGACTGCCAAACTATATTATAACTGCCAAACCACTGAGAATCATGGCCCAGCCAAGATGACACACAACCTTAATGATTACAGGTGGTAAGGTAGTGTTCTTGAATCTTTATAATGTTGACAGCATGTATGGACTGGAAACACAGCATTTTGACTAAGAAAAAGAATAAGTCCATTTTCTTCACTTTCTGGTAATTACAAAAAATGATAATGACCAGCCAATAGGTGACCTTTTAATCTGGTGCATCTCCTTTTAAAGAGTAAAATGTAAATAAGTAAATAAATAAATCCCAAACAATGCAGATATTTCAGTCCAAATGTCTCTCCACTTTGCCTCTGGAAATTTGGTAAATAAGAACACCCAAAATTTAAGCCACCAATTTCAATCTTTGCTTATTTGGCTATTTGTTAACATTGCTCAACAGAACATTGATTTATTGTGTGAATTTTTCCTTATTCTATTAATAAACTAAAAATGGAATGACCAAAATGGATCATGATTTTTTTTCTTCACTCAGTTGAAGGAAAACTTTCATATCTCATTTTCCCAACCATCCTAAAAGGTCTGGGCCCCTGCATAGTTCGCCCAATGTAAGCTCACATGAACAAAGGTCTTGCTATGACAAAAATAATTTGGTCTCTTTCTAGGAGCTAAACAGATGACAAATGTCCAGTAAGACAGGTTAAATAAGGCATCAAATAAATGTAATATAAATTTTGGGCCCTTATTTGGTGCGGCAGCAGAGATGGCACTAAGAAAAAGATCTAGAAACATTTTTTACCATCAGATTTTTCCCTTCTCCCTCTTTGTCTTCCTCCCCATCTGAGCATCACTTTGTATGTGTATCATTTGCAAAGGATGGAAGTTGACATTCATTGGTTTCTATCTGGAATCATTACTGTGCCGAATATATAGAAAACAAAATTGAGGTAGATAAGTATTTTACTCAGGAGGATAATATTATGAGTCCTTATTTAGTTATTCAAATATTAAGCCAGTGAGATATTTAGGGGGTAGAACATGATTTGATGACTACGTGTAGTTGATGACAGAGGAAAGAACTGAGGTTGACATAGGTTTCTGGGTTAAGCATCTGTGTAGATAGCTCAGGAAGAGAGAAAATACAGAATGAAGGACATAGTTTGCTTAGTTGTGCTTTTTTGGGGGGTGGGGATAAAGGGTACAGTTTGGAATGTATTGTGTTTGATATGTCTATGGGATATTGAATTTATATTTGAAGTATCCAAATATAAATCTCAGAGATGAGACCTGAGATGGTGATTTAAGAGTCAACACCCTACATAGATAAGTAATTGAAAGCCATGGTGGAAATAGGATCAGCCTGGGAGATTGCAAAATAAAAGAGAAGAATATCAAAACAACCATTGAGCAAGGCTGAGCAAAAGAAGCACAAAAAGGACATGAGGGCTAGTCGGAAGGATAAGGAATAAAAAATTAGGAGTGGAGTCTCAACAACCAAGAGAGGGCATTAAAGAAGGAATTAGTCAACAACATCAAACAGTAAACGAAGGTCACATGACCATTGGATTTAATGACAAGATCATTGGTAACCTCAGGCAGTGCATCTTGATGGAATTGTGGGGACAGATACTACCTTCCAATTGAATCTCCTTTTGTGCCTGCCAGAGCACTTTGATAAACATTTGACTTGTTTCCTCTACAAACTCATGGAAACATCAGCCAAATAAATGCCCAACTCTGATATTTCAATTAAGTAGACAGGAAATTGATATTCTTGATAATGCTAGGTAATGCTCTTAATGTTCTTTTTCCTTAGAAGAGGAAATAAAATCCTAGGTTTTACACACACACGCACTCATGCTCATGCATACACACAATCCTCATAGGCTAAACAAAATCGCTGTTCAGGAAAAATTCAGTCTCTAGGCTATCAATTGCAGTCTTTGATTAGGGAAATACATTAAACTTTTATTACTTACCTGGCACTGTAATGAGTACTGGAGACCTTTCCTCTGTTCTTAAGTAGTTTATAGATTTTGCTAGTACTGCTCATTTGAGACTTGTATAAGATGACAAGTTGTTCCATAGGGATTTTATATAGACAACAGTTACTAATGTATCTCAGAGCAACTATTACTTGTAAAACTTTTTTTGTTTAATTGACCAAATATTGAGAATTGGTAAAGTAATAATGGATGACCCACATGATAGATTTAGCATAGGTACTTGTAGTAGTTTCCTAAGGCTGCTGTAACAAAGTAACACAAAATGAGTGGCTTACAATATCAGAAATTTATTATCTCACAGTTCTGGAGGCTAGAAGTCTGGAATCAGGTTGTCAGACATGTTAATTCCTTCTGAGGTTTTGAGGGAGAACCTGTTCTATGCCTGTCACTTAACTTCTGGTGATAGCCTGTGATTCTTGGCATTACTTGGCTTGCAGCTGTAACCTCTACCTCTCTCATAACATGGTATTCTCTGTGTCTCTTCTCCTCTTTTATAAGAATACTACTCATATTGGATTAGGACATAATCTAGCCCTACTCCAGTATGAACTTGTCATGGATTGAATTATGTCCCCCTGAAAATGTGTGTATCAGTTTGGCTGGGCCATGGTTCCCAGTATTGTGTGGTTATCCTCCATTTTGTGATTGTAATTTTATGTTAAAGAGGATTAGGGTGGGATTATAACACCCTTACTAAGGTCACACCCCTAATCCAATGTAAAGGGAGTTTCCCTGGGATGTGGCCTGCACCACCTTTTATCTTACAAGAGATAAAAGGAAAGGGAAGCAAGCAGAGAGTTGGGGACCTCATACCACCAAGAAAGCAGTGCCGGGAGCAGAGTGCATCCTTTGGACCGGGGTCCCTGCGCAGAAAAGCTCCTAGTACAGGGGAAGTTTGATGAAAAGGACCTTCTTCCAGAGCTGACAGAGACAGAAAGCCTTCCCCTGGAGCTGACGCCCTGAATTTGGGCTTCTAGCCTACTAGACTGTGAGAAAATAAGTTTTCTTTGTTAAAGCCATCCACTTGTGGTATT